TGAAGAAGAGAAGGATAATTTGAAGACAAGAATTGAAACAGCTATCGCAGCTCTTAACGATCCTCCAAGTCCTATGAGCATGTAACTAACGTGACATGCATGCACAATACATATCACTTTGCAACCATTGATTTTTTCCCCCTCTTTGCAGAGGTCTTTCCGTCCTTGTTTCCTTGATGAAGAGTCTGTAGTTTTCTTCCTCTTCTTTTTTCTCTTGGACTTTACTCCTTCTGCTGCTAAGTGAAGCGACCATCAAATAATAATTGTGCCTTCCAGAAATATATTTCTTCCAAGTTACTACGACTTCTCAGCTCAAAACAAAAACAAAAAACAAAACAAAGCCTTGCAAGGAATGATTGTCTCGAGGTGACTTGAGAATTTACAAGGACGCCACTAATTGTTCTATGCACTATAGAATTTATCAGCAACGATTATAACAGCAGAAATCATGTTTTCTGAAAAAGATTACCAATTTGTCTTTCTGGCAGGTGAAAAAGAGAGATCAAACCTAATCCAGATCTCCGACCACAGTTGAGTTTCCAATTTCCCACCACTTGCTGTCATGTAAAGATGTAATCTTTTTAATTGTTCTCTTTTCTTAATTTATTACTCGAATCAAAAATATAAAATAAGAATAAACAGCGAAGTATCAAAAGATTGTATGTTTCGTCTAGCGGAATTAAGAATTTGTTCACTTCAACGGTAAAAACCTAGGCGCCATGACTTCTCGTCTCCCCCATTCCAAACCCCACGAAAACCTCAACCCTAATCCTTCCAAATCCAACCTTTACGTCCGTCATCTGCAATCTACCCAGTTTGTTCTTCCATCACAACTAACCAGCTTCCAAAAAAACCTGCCCTTTATCCCTCCAACACAAACACTTGTCACCAAGAAACCAAATCTTTATACTTCACAGCCCCAACGGAGTAACTCTGTTGGTTTTTCTACAGAGACCAGGATTTATTTTGAGAGATTTCCTGCCTGGCTTGACTACCAGACCCTTAGGAAATCTTTTACCAGGTTTGGCCTGGTGATTCATCTCTTCGTATCAAAAAGGCGAAACAAGGAGGACATTTATTTTTGGATGAAGAATAGCTTGGTTGGGTTGCATTAAAGGAGTAAACTATCAGAAAATAAAAATGGATTTGATTGATTGTGGCGTGCAGTTTCACGATTTTCGATTCGTGGGTGCCTCTCAAGCCTTAATATCACTCGAATTTTCCGATTCAATGATGAAGGCATTTGAATCGGACATTTAAGACCATGGATACACTCGGGTTCGCCTAGATTACTATATATGACCTCCCAGTTATGGCTTGGAATGTATCTTGTAAAAGGAACATTCTGTCAAAGTACGGAAGGGTTATCAGTGATCTTATACAATCATTCTTCGTTTCAATACAATGGATACTCTGAAATTTCTGATTAGAACGCGATTTACAAGGGTAATTAAAGAAACATTATTCTGCAGTTCAATGGAAAGGACTACCAGATAAAAATTCAGGATTTGGATGATCCACACCATTCAGGATTTGAAACCACTGATTATAGCATGAAGAATCCCAGTCCACAACTATAAGAACATGATGAGGATGATTCTCGATTCTATAATGATAGTGAAAGAAACATGGATAAAATCTGAGTTCAGTCAAGTGTTGACAGGGAGACTTTTGGAGATAAGTCCATGAATCCTTGGTTTCAGTCTGCCCCACTTTGCTTCCTGATATTTCAGGAGGCTTCGGACAGGAAAAATAAACATGAGAATTAAGAAGAAGAAAAAAGAAAAAGAAAAAGAAAATTGGGTTGAGCTATCTGTACAATAGGCCTTTTAAAAAGAAAAAGTGGCCCGTCTTGTTCTAGGCAACTATCATTATTAGCCCATTTTAAGCCGATTTCTTTATAAATTTTTTCTAAGTAGTTACAATTATTCTTCTTTTTTTATTCAACTAGTTTGCGTGTGACTCAAAATTATTGTATTCTTTTCCTTTTTTTTTTAATTTTAAGGTTGCATATTTTATATTATTTATATTTTAAAAAAATTAATAAAGCTTTTAGACAAACAACACCTTTTGCAACTATACTCTTATTTATTTTATTTTTTATTATCATCCTTTTGTAAAATTCTTTTTTATAGATTACATTATTTAACATATCTAACCATACTCTTCTATTCATAAACCACAAGAAAATAACACATGAGAATTAAGAAGAAGAAAAAAACTTGAAAAGGCTTGAAAAAGCAAAATGGCTTTATACAGAAGAAAACCTTACCTAAGTGAAAATCTCTCATAAATATAGAAGTGTGAAGTGTATCAGAAGCACCAATTAAATGAATGCATAAATAGGAGTCATCTGTTCCACACTAATAATTTTTTCTTTGTTCCACTTCAGATAATATTGCATTTCATATGAAGGAAGTCATCGACGCTTAACACAACATCTATTACTATAGCATAAATACTCTTTACATAATCTTTGATGAAAAAGTGAGTGGAAAATTTTCAAATAGAATATGAACTTTCCATGGCTGTATTATGGGTAGAAATAAAGTGATAGAACTGGTTTACGATGGACTTGATCTAGAGGTTGAACATTTATCTAAAAAAATAAGTTTTTTTGAAATAAAAAACCCTTCAATACTTAAGTCATAACATACAAAAAAAAGTGTAGTGTATAAAAAAAATACACAAAGACACATATATATAAAAAAAAAGTTTATGTCCAAGCTTAAAATAATATGATTAACTTTTATAACCTGCAATAACATGAATAGTTAAAATGACATTGTTAGCTTTTATTACATGCCTGGTTTTTATGGTTAAAATATAGATATATGTTGTCAAGCTTTCAATGGTTAAATAGAGCTTTGTCTAGCAAAGAATGAATCTGATTACTAGGTATATATATATACTTAGACCTTAAAATTTCTTCTATGAATCTGATTACTAGGTATATATATATATATATTTAGACCTTAAAATTTCTTCCAGATGCATTGTTGATGGAGAAACTAGTATGCTTTTATTGGCAAGTCATGGTAGTTCATTAGTAATTATGTCATGCACGCTATCAATAAAAATGTTGGTGATGGATAGTGTCTTGACATAGAAAATAATATCTACTTTATATGGAAAAACTCGTGATATAAAAAAAATTATATGCATGAAAAGTTAATATGTACAGTTTATTAGGATCCAAGCGATGCATTAAATAGTATCAAAGTAAGATTGGATAGACTATGGTTGGTGTTGGGGTGAGATTTAAGTTGTTTTGGGGTGAATTTTGAGTTAGAATTCAATATGTACAAACATAATTATTATTTTTTTAAAAAAATTGTGTATTATCATCCCTCTTTTTTAATAAATTTAAATAGGTATGTTTAGAAAACTTTGATTAGAAAAACTAATGGAGATAACACTTAGCACATAAATATTACCTTTGTGGCTCTATTTATATGAAATATATTATATTTGTGGCTATACCTTTATAAGAAAAGAATGTTTGCTTTTTGTGATTTTTGTTATCGAGATTGTTTTTTCTACAAGTATACAAGATTTTATTAAATTATGGTAAAGAACATTATTATTTAAAAAATTAAAAATACTTTGTTATCATAAAAAGATATTATATAAAAAGATGTTGTATAGAGATGCAGATATTTAAACATAGATTTATTATAGAGATTTCTATAAAGACATAGAGATCTCATTGAAAAGATTCATTGAAAAGATTTTTTAGAAAGTTATATTTAGAGAAATGAAAATTTTAATGGAGACATGGACAATTTAATGAAAACATCAAGATCTTGTTGTTGAGATTTTTATGGAGTCATTAAAGATATCAAGAAGGTATTATTTTTATTCAAAAAAACGTAAAATATAAAGATTTAATTTTGAGAATTATATGATCTTGGATATTGAATTATATAAATTTTTATCTATTTGTTTAGATTTCATATTTTTATTTATAAATGGTTAGAAAATATCTTTTGGTGATTTGTTTTTTCATGACATGATATTTTACAATGTCATGATCATTGTCTGGTGAAAGGAAGAGAAATTGTTAGAATTTTCTATGTTCATGATATTTTTCATTAAATATGAATATTGTAATTAATTTTGACCCCGCATCCAAATTAAAAATAAAAAAGGGTTGGGGAGCAAAATGAAAGCCAAATGAAGAAATAGGGATGGAAAAAAAAAGTTTGAGTCTCCAAAAACATCTTGAAATGAAAAATTCAAGAGACAAAGGGATAAAAGGATATGTAGGTAAAGATAAGATATTAGGATTAAAAAATATATATTATTGAGTGCTTATAAATACACAAATAATACAAAAAAAATATATAGAAAAACATATATAAAAAAGACAAAAGAAAAATCACTAGAGAATATTAGTTGGAGACAAATTTACAAGTGACAAGAGTCATAAAAAATGAAAAGAGGAGAAATTTGATAAAAATATAAAAAAGAAAAAAGAAAAAAAGAGAGAGAATTTAAACTTCAGCACAAATTTTTGGTTCTCTCAGTCGACCCTCTCTCTCACACAAAAATAACAGTACCTCCATAATCAAACCATGTATATTGTCCCTTTTCAATTCACACCATGACAGTAGCTTTCCTACTCCAGAATCAAACCTCCATCATAGCCACCAGAAGTTTCTTCTCCCACCAGACCTAGTTCCTTCATCTTCATTCAACCATTAAGACTACTCATCGTTCCCACTTCTCCAGCAGCGGTAGGGCAGTAGCAACCAACAACGACTCTTATCTCTTTCTCGTGGTCTCTCTCCATATTGTTAAATCATACAATGCCCAATGGCATTGATGTTTCCATAATTAAATGCTATCTTTATTAGTTTTTTTTTTTTGGAGAAACTACAGAGTGCATCCGATTCCTTCAATTTTTCAGTATTTCACCTCGGCCCTTAATGTTTAAAAATTATCACTGTCAACCTTGTAGTTTCAATTTGTTTGCTTATCATCAAATTAGTCCTTATGCTACAACCTATATTTCAATCGAGTCATCAGTTGAGCAAGGCAGAGCCTCAACATTGTGACCGATCCATTGAGCAAAGGCTTCATTGAACATTCTTCACGCACACCCTCTCTCTCTCTAACCTCAATCAATTCCTCCCTCTCTTTCTCTGACATGGACTTGTTAGCCAGCTATGCTTCTTCAGATGAAGAAGAAAAAGACCAGCCCCGGCCCCAGCAACGGCACCAAACTCCAGCCTCTCCTCCAGGAAAACCCTCTCTTTTCTCTTCTCTTCCGCAGCCCAAATCTTCTTCTTCTCTCTTCTCTTCTCTTCCACAACCGAAACAAGAACCCGCCTCAAAACCCCAAGTTATACCCGAAAACAACAACCTTAGAATTGCTAATTTCAAAGAAGAAGATAAAAGGCCAACCGTCAAATCTAGAACCTCTCTTTTCTCTTCTTTACCACAGCCAAAAACCGAAACTTTACAGCAGCCCACATCAAATTTAACACCTGCAGACAGTAATCCCAAAAGGGTTGTTCAATTTAAGCCTCCCATTAACAGGCCTTCAATTTTAGACGAGGAGGAAGATGAGGAGGAGAAGAAGGAGAAGGAGAGAAAAAGAAAAAAGACTGAGTCTTTGTTGCAATCTGATTCTTCTTCAGTTAAGGGTTTCTTGTCTAGTATACCTGCACCAAGAAATTCATCTTCTTTAGGGGTTGGTTCTTTGGGTTCTGGGTCTGGAAGGAGGTCTGTGATTGAATCTGAGGGGCCCACTTCAATTTCTGGCGGTGTTGGAGCAGAAAAAGAATCTGGGGTTGATCAAAGTAGTGAGGGATATGAGAGTTATGATGGTGGTTATGTAGGTTTTGATCACAATGGAGGGGATTATGTGAATTATGGTAGTTATGAATCTGGGACTGATCAAAGTGTTGCTCAAAATGTTGGTGGTGGAGGGTATGAGAGTTATGGTGGTTATGGAGATTCTGGGCAGTATGGGAGTAATTGGGATGATGGGTCAGTGGCAGCAGTGGCTGAGACCGGAAGTGGGGGGGCAGCTGAAAGTGCATTGAGAATGATGGGGAAGAGAAGAAGGAATGAGATGCCAACTGAAATTATTGAGGTGAAGCAGGATGAGTTGATTAAGAATCGACCAAGGGAGGACCAGGTTAAGTCAACTGGAATCGCATTTGGCCCAGCTTATCAGGTATTGCATTTATTACTTTTTGTTTATGTGCGTGGTTCTTTCAGTTTGTTTGTTGAAGATGATTTTACTTGTGTGGAGATTTTGATTTGTTGTTTATTTGTAGTTGGGGAACTTATGTAATATTACATTGATTGGTGCTTTTCAATTGCTAATGAGTTTATTATACATATATGGCATAACGTATATTGCTTTCTGAATGATAACGTGTCCGCTCTCAATGAGCTATACTGTCCTGTTTCATCTCATCAATGTTTGCTTTGACCATGCCAACGCAATGCCTTGACTGCTTTAGTTCTGTTACAATTGTTTGCTGAAGAGGGATACGAGGTTTTTATTTTATGTATCAAATGCTTTAGGAATTGCAGTTCTACATTGAGAAAAAAATCGCATGGATTGATAATTCAACTTTTGCAAACATGCCATTGATGTATCAAAATGGTTACTTGTGATTTTTGAAACTATCTATTAGTGTAGTTAAGCTAGAGTTCTATTCCTGTATCTGTTTCCCTCTGGTCAATCATATCTGTGAAGCTTAAGTTCCATCCAAGGCTAAGACTTTTATTTGAAGTTGGTTCTTAATAAGAAAACACTACCGAACTACTGCAAGTGACAAGGCCTTGCAGGCATAGTACTTGAACCCTGGTCTGGGTCTGCTTCTTAACATTTGGTACATAAAGAGTCATTTTTCCTACATAATCTAGTGACATGAGATAGTGTGTATTGGTGTTTTGGCTATTTGAGGAGCAGTGAGAATCTCCAACTAAAGTGGAGGATCTCTTTCTGATGTCTTCCCCAGTCGGCTTTCTGTGAGGACTGCAAAATGCTCTCGTTTGGAGTATAGGATGAGAAGCTCTAGATTCTAGAATCCCCAAGAATCATAAACTGTATTGTTCTCATTTTGTTCATCTTCATGGGGGACTTATAGAAAAAGTGAAAGGACTTCAAAACAAATTCTGAAAATGGGCAGTTCTCTCATAATGCCTTTTCTTTCCACATCAAGTACACACTCGAATCACTAGCGATTCGACTCGGACTAAATTACAAAAATAATTTTACTACTATTTCAAGTGCAGAACACGTAAATCATATAATGTTTTAAGAATATACTACTATGGTCTGACCTGTAAAACCATGAAAAGTTTGCTTCTACTGGAACCGGACAAGAATCAGCATGTTGGTGACTCAAAATTCGAATTTCAATTTCAATTTGAATGATGATTGTTTTATATTTCATGAAAATTCAATGTTTAAATTCGAATTTTAATTTCAATTTGAATGATGATTGTTTTATATTTCATGAAAATTCAAAATTGTAATCTTAGCATTCAATGTGTATTGTTATATTTGGATGTGAAAGGCATGTGGTGTTCAAACGATCCCTCTGTCACTCTAGAATGAAGGGGGCGGTTGCCATTGCTGTACTATAGAAAGCTATTGGGTGTGAGTCAATGAGTAAGGCAGGAGTTTGAGTATCACAAGTGTTTCCTCATAGGAACATACTGCTTTAAATTCAGATGACATCTGATATCATTAAGTTCAAGATCATTTTAATGCGTACTGTAGAAAATCATCAGTTTGTCTGTGATAAAACCTCAAGATCTTTAGCCATTTGAAGTCAAAACCTTATTATCTGTTTCAATTTGGTAGATTATTAAGGTTGGAAACAAGAAAGGGGCCATTTCCAGTGCACTGATCAGAATAAGAGCATTGGCAAGTCATTATGAGAGTAGACACTTAATGCAAAATTCTGAAGAATAGGACCCTACCTGGAATAATTGTCTTGTTGTGTCTCTTAGAAATAAAAAAAATAAATAAAGAAAAAAAAGTCTGTAACTGTAGGTCCGAGAAATTCCACAAATTCAAATTTTATGTAGAACAGATGACTTTCTTTGGATTCATGATACTATAAATTCAGGTGATATTAGCTATCAATAAGTTGAAAGTCATTTCCAATTCCAATTCCTTGTCACCAGAATAGTTACTGGAGGAAAACGTCTATTAATTTGGGATGATAAATTCAGATTTTAGTCTTTTGGTGGAAAATCCTTGGTAACTGTTTCATTTTGGTAGATTCTAAAGGTTGAAAACCTAGTAGGGGCTATTTTCCAGTGAATTGGTTAGAGTTTGGCTGTTCAGTGCAAAACTGGAGGCAGGGCCTGAGAGAAGTGATCCATGCCGACACTAAGAATTAGGAACTTAACTATACTATGGCTGGTCTCCATAAAGTTTTTCATTTTTGTTTAATTAATCATATCATGGAGAGTATGGGAAGTCAAAAGTCATCATGGCCTGTTTGTCCTAAATGTTGTTTCATGTCTGGCGCAACCTGGGGAGAGCTCTTCCAGTTACCAGTGACTTCAACTTAATGGCCTCGTTAAATATCTCTGTAGTGTGATAAATTGCTAATTTTGAATAGATGTTGTTGAGCAAGAATCTGACATGACCAAAAGAATTTGATTAGTTAAAATCCATGGTTTATTGAACTTGTTTTGTTAGCACATGCCTGGCTTAATTTACGAGTTCTTTTAAGTTTGTCTAGTTAATGTTCAATTTCAGTTCTCTATGTGATAACATATATTTGTCTTCTGTAGCCTGCTTCATCTAAAGGGAAGCCATCGAAACTGCACAAGAGGAAGCATCAAATTGGTACTTTGTACTTTGATATGAAGCAGAAGGAGACAGAATTGGCAGAGCGGCGTTCCAAAGGGTTTCTCACTAAAGCTGAAACACATGCCAAGTATGGATGGTGATTTTGAGATGATTTCCATTTTTCTGGTATCAAACGGCTGATGTTGGCTCCCCTCAGATGTTATTGTGTTTTTGCTATTATTTTCGCTGCACTTTTCTTTTTTTCTTTCGTCCCGCAAAGAGCCATGCTGATGGTTATAACTTACTAGTAGTGTAATTATGCTAGCACTGTTTTAGAATGTCTCAAGGTGACGATGAACTTAATAGCATCTGATTCTGCTCATGGGAAAAAAGAGGCAGCAGCATGCATGAGATTACGGAGCAGTTCGAGAATGCAGCCCACGCTGCTCAAATAGGGTTTTATAAAAAACTATTTTTTAAAATTAATATTTTTATATTTTTGGATGATGTGTCGATATTAAAAATATTTTTTAAAAAATAAAAAAATTATTTTGATGTATTTTTCAGAGAAAAATATTATATCTTGGTTTGCTCTAGTTTTTTTTTTTTTTTTTTTGTAATTGTTGCCTAATAATTTCTTTTTTGGTAGCCATTCCAGTACCTTGAAAGAAAATCCATTTAATCATGCAATTTAGATATCTAAAGGCTTGCAAATGAGAGAGGGGAAAAAAAAAAAAACCCTTCATCAAGGGAGGAAGTCCAGTTGTTCTTAAGGATTTTTGTATGAATAACAAGATTTAACATAAATAGAATTTCTTTTTTATGCAAGTGTAATGAATGCTAATCTATACTTGGGAGTTGTTGATAAAAATATTGAAAATCATTTTATTAGATGTTGAGATGGATATTTGTTTTAAAATATTAGGTATTGAAGAAACTATAAGAATTGCAAATAATGCTTATGGTTTATAATATTTATAGTGAAAAAATAAGATAATTTATAGTATTGGTTTCACTTAGAGCAAGCTACTGTCTTATTATTGATTCATCTAAAGTTGAAGGTCTTCTACTGTCTAGTTAATGATATTTTAAAGTTGAAGGTCTTCGAAGATGCAAATGACATTAAATAAGGAATACTGAGCTTTTAAAATGTGCAGATTATATGTTTTCCTCTCAACCTTATAGATGAAATAACCCCTGAAAGGAAGTTCCGACGAAAGGTATTTTTGTCACTGCATTGTGCTAGCCAAAACGAAAGAGCGAAAATGGTCATGGGTGGAATTTTATTTTTTATTTTTATTTTTAAGGGTGATTCAATAATTGCGCTGTGCTAAAAAAAATGCTAAAAAACCGAGCTGTCCCCGTTGAATTTCATGATAAAAAATGTGTCATGTGAAAATACCAAATCATCCCCAAAGGCAAGTTCATTGATTTTCTTGGAAAGAAAGAAAAAGGTAATTGCACTCTCATGGTGAATAAACCTTCTAGATGAAAATTTTTCATTACTTTGTATCTCAGTCCTTGTACTGCTCTGTACTGCATTTGCTTCAAGGTAGGAGATGCGGAAAAGCTTACAGTGAAACTCTGAAATTTCACATACAAATATTCTTCTTTTCTGATCGATCTTTCTGAGAAACACCGTTCTCATGTTGTAAATCTTAGGCAGAAATTAGTCAATGACACAAGCAAAGTGGTCTAACTGTTCACATTTATGCAAAACTTGGAAGAAAAACTTGCATGCATGTTACACAAGAAGGAAATGCACTTCATGGACCAAAAAATTTAGAATTTAGTCTTGTACTCTGGAGAGTTTCCATCCACAAACATCAAAAGGCAGCATAATCAGGAAAAAGAAAGAAAAGGAGAAGGAAAGAAATGCTGAACATTTTAATCTTAGGTATAAAAGGATTTATGGAGCACTGCCTTTGAGAAAACAATAACTTGAGAATAAACAATCACCAGGTTGAAATCCAAACATGGCTTCAACATGCTACATTGGCCAGATACAGGCTTACCTATAGTTTTGAATTAACTAGATTTGGAGATCATCAGAAAGTTGTGCCGTTAAAGCCGAAGAACGGGCGCTGGAGACAAGAAAAAAAACAAGGATCAAGATAGGTTTCAAAAAACAAGTTTCCAATCTGGAATGCTGTAACCAGCCAAGCAGTATATATTTGAATGTGCATGTATACAAAGTACAAGGATATTTTTCATAGCATGACAAAGACTCACCCTTTTTAAACTACGTTTGTCACTGCATTAAATTGTGCATGATATAGAATTTCCTCCAAGTTTTCCCACTTGAAATAAACCGAGATAGATTATCAATTTTTTTGTCACTTTTTCCAGCAAGCAATTGCTTTGAGACTGAAAGACTAACCTAGTGATGCAAGTAATTGAAAAACATATGGCAGTTTAATCAAGTTTATCGACAGTGAAATGCTAGCAGCTTTGCCCACTTCCCTTATAAATACATATTCATAAACCCCTCTTGATTTCAAGCCAAAAATACTAGGCCAGTAGAGGAAGTAATAGTGAATCAAGTTCCAGTTGACTGGAATGCTAGCAGCCTTGCCTATTTCATATCAATTCATATTAAAAAAAAAAAAAACTCTATTAATTCTAACCCACAAAGCCTTGTAAAACAATAGAAGCAAAACTAAATGTAAATGAGGCCAAAGCCAAAACCGGAGCAGAACCAATTAACTTACCGGGGAATCGAAAAACTTTATATAAAAACGGGAGCTATCAATGGAGAGCTTAGTTTGAAGAATATCTGCAATAGTTGAACTCAGTTTTGCGTTAACACTTTGCCCAAGTCCACCAATGGAGATTACTTCAGCAAACGCAGCTGGAGCTTCTGTTCCCGCAAATACAATAGGTACCCCTCCATGCATCACAACCATCACATACTGAAAAATACAGCAATATTTCGTCATGACACATCATTTTCAATTCCATCTTTATACAAGTCCAACATTCAATAGCTTCATGAAAAAATAAAAAAAATAAAAACTAAACTAAACACATGAAAAGAAAGACGCATTTGATGTGCACGCCTAGACTGGAGAAGAGTAGACAAGGTTATCCCACGACAAGAAGAAAGATAAAAATTCACGCGGGACGTATAAAACATCAGCACAAGCACAGTTGTCCAATCCTGTGCACCGAACAATTGCTAATAATTTTGATGTGTCCCAGAGTAATTTCATCAAACAGAACGCAGTCATTTAAAGTTTTACAAGAAAAACAAGGACAGAAAACTAAAGCAAAGACACAATTAGTTATAATAGGAAAGTGGTTAAACAGGGTACTTAACAGATTCAGGTTTGCCAATGATTTTAGAAAGAGCCTTGGTGGCATCTTTGAGAATATCGGAGGTTGTAACAGCATCAACTGGTATGTTTGTGAAGAGATTCAAGGTTGGCATTTCTTTTTCTTCTGGTGGGGAGGGGGAGGGGGAGGGGAAGGGGTTATGTTGGCTATGACCTTTCTTTGTTGTATGAATGGATGGATGGGATAGGTTTGGAGATAGATAACGCTTCCTTCCTAAACTACTAGAAGGGAGCTTTTCTGGGATTGGAGGAAAATAATAAATCTAGGCTCAAAAAAATAAAAAAGAAATGGACAGTGCTCGATTTTTATACGACCCACTTAATTTAAAAAAAAATGGTAATAAATATTAATTAAGAATTAGATATTGAAAATGACCGTCCTTCAGCTCGATTATGAATATTATACCTAGAATTTGGGAAATATTTAGTTCGGATAATAGAAGGAGCACGACAAGATAATCCAAGGATAAAAGAAATAAAAACTTTGAATTTTGACAAGCACGAGGTAATCCAAAGATACCTCAAACTGATTATGAAAGAATTATTTAGTCTCCATATATATAGTATGAGACAGACATCATTTCAATCCAGAAAAGAAATTCATTCATTTTTTTATTTATTTTAATTCTATGGCAATAGGAAAAGTGCAACTTCCATGTGAAGTATGGAGAGAGAAAAAAAAAATGGAAATTGGTAAACTGCAAATATTTCATTACATTTTCTTGTGTTTTTTCCGCCAAACTCAAAACTTACTAGTGTTTAGCTGATGATGGCAGATAAGCAGAAGTGGACATTTCCAAGACCCTACAAAAACTACGTCCCAAGAGGATTTCCTTCCCTAAATAGTAGTCTCAGAAGTAATCAGAAAGAGTTCAGACCGTATTTCGTCATGAGTTGCCCGCTCAAATCCTATAACTACTATAGCCACCTAAAGCAGAAGATCCATAATCACCGTAGAGTCGTCCCATCGCTGAACTTGCAGGATAAGATGTCTCGTCGTTGTACACGTACAGACCGCACACCGCTTTCGTACTTCTCGTAGCTTCTGGTGACTGGTTCTATATGGCTGGCATTGCTTAAACATTCCTGCAGGAAACAGGAGAATTCATAGTATGGATGAGCGTTCAGGATTCTATAAGCAAAACCAGATCATCAACATTGAAAAGAATGTTTTCCTGTGAGAAATTGCCATTCATAAATATTCTATGCATATATAGAAGCAGGGAGCTATTATTGCCAAAACTACATGCTCCAACCAGAGACCTATTCGGACAATAAAACAAATATTATGTCTGCACACGTATTGTTATGTCTATGCACTAGAGGGAGAAGCATGTTCACAAAGCTCTACTTGTTCCCACATTTTTGTCCCAACTTGTCATAGGATATGCTTTTCAATTCTCCGCAGTGCTTTTCCCTCTAACTTATCTACAAAAGCTCACTTCGACTGGACAAAAAACAATAGTTAAAAGGAACAGAAGATTATCTAGGAAAATCAGTACCCCATCCCAAATACTCTACAAGACCTTATGCAATTGAGATATATGCCGAGAAACGTGATACCTGAATCAGTTGTTGAGCTGTCTGAACCTGCAATGAGGTTCCTTTTTATCTCCACAATTATCTGATCAGGTGATCCTACGCTTTCTTTCACACTTATCGTTTAGAGTTTCGAATATATGAAATATTTGATTATTTACAAGCTTATCATTATATTTATTTTAATAACTAAATAGCCCTTAAATCATCAAAATAATATGGAGCTTCAAAGAAGTACTTTCACATTAAATTGGCTGGGTTTCAGGCTACACTCTGAAGAAATGACAAACTCCTAAGATCAATAGGACTTATAGCTTCAGACAAACCAAAATACCTTATATCCAGTTCACTTGTGATATATGCCGAGAAACGTGATACCTGAATTGTTGATGATGTGACTGCATTGTAAGATCACAGTCTCCTCTGGATGTTGGCTAGCTTAATAAGATCTTAGAAATGTACTAAGAATATGTATCGTATTTGACAATATGCAAGAGTGCAATTTGACTTAATGGTAT